ATTGTTGTCAAGTGTCAATTGGTTAGGAAAACTTTTTGAAATTTAAACTGTCCTATAGGGTATAGTCACGTGGAAAAGAGTAAACTAAAGTGTACACCATAGTGTACATGTAGCAAGGCCCTTACCGATTTAACTTTTCTATTTGTACACTGATTTTTGACACGAAGTTTGACACTTGCATTGTTGCCAAAGTGTCAATTGGATGGGAAAACTGTTTGAAATTTAAACTGTCCAGCAAGATAATGTCACGTGGGAAAGTGTAAACTGAAATGTACCCCACAGTGTACATGTAGCAAGGTGCTTACCGATTGAACTTTGCAATTTGTGCACTAATTTTTCACATGTTGTTTGACACTTGTATTGTTGTCAAGTGTCAGTTTGATGGAAAAATTATTTGAAATTTAATTGTCTGGCAGGGTTATGTCATCTGGCAAAGTGGAAACTAAAGTATGTACACCATCGTGTACATATAGTAAGGTTCTTGCGAATTAAACGTCCCAATTTATACATTGATTTTTGACACGTTGTTAACACTTGCATTGTTATCAACTGTCAATTGGGTGAGAAAACTGTTTGAAATTTAAACTATCCAATAGGGTAATGTCACGTGCCAAAGTGTAAACTAAACTGTACACCATAGTGTACCTGTAGCATGGTTCATACCGATTGAACTTTGCTATTTGCAAACTAATTTTTGATACATTGTTTGACACTTGCATTGTTGTGAAGTTTCAATTGGATGCGAAAACTGTTTGAAATTTAAATTGTCCAACAGGGTAATGTCACGAGGCAAAGTGTAAGATAAAGTGTACATCGTTGTGTACGTGCACCAAGGTCCTTACCGATTGAACTTTGTTATTTGTACACTGATTTTTGACACGCTATTTGACACTTGCATTGTTGTCTAGTGTAAATTTGATAAAAAAGATTGTTTGAAATTTACCTGTCCAGCAGGGTAATGTCACGTGGCAAAGTGTAAACTAAAGTGTGTATACCATAGTGTACATAGAGCAAGGTTCAGACCGATTGAACTTTGCTATTTGTACATCGATTTTTGACACATTGTTTGACACTACCATTGTTGTCAAGTTTCAATTGGATGGAAAAACTTTTTGAAATTTAAACTGTCCAATAGGGTAAAGTCACGTGGAAAAGAGTAAACTAAAGTGTACACCATAGTTTACATGCAGCAAGGTCCTTACCTATTGAACTTTGCTATTTGTACATTGGTTTTTGACACGTTGTTTGACACTTGCGTTGTTGTCAAGTGTCAGTTGGAGGCAAAAACTGTTTGAAATTTAAACTGTCCAACAGGGTAATGTCACGTGGCAAACTGTAAATTAAAGTGCACACTGTAGTGTACATTTTGCGAGGTTCTTGTCGATTAATCTTTGCTATTTGTACACTAATTTTTGACACGTTTATTGATACCTACATCGTTGTCACGTGTCAATTGGATTGTAAAACTATTTCAAATTTAAACTATCCAACAGGGTAATGTCACGTGGCAAAGTGTAAACGAAAGTGTACACCATAATGTACATGCAGCAAAGTCCTTACCAATTGAGCTTTGCTATTTGTACACTGATTTTTGACACGTTGTTCAATACTTACATTGTTGTCAAGTGTCAATTGGGTGGGAAAACTATTTAAAATTTAAATTGTGCAATAGGGTTACGTCACATGGCAAAGTGTAAACTAAAGTGTACACCATAGTGTACATGTGGCAAGGTCTTTACCGATTGAAATTTGCTATTTGTACATTGATTTTTAAATGTTGTTTGACACTTGCATTGTTGTCAAGTGTCAATTAGATGGGTAGACATTTTGAAATTTAAATTGTCCAACAGGGTAATGTCACGTAGCAAAGTGTAAACTATAGTGTACATGTGGCAAGTTCCTTACCGATTGAACTTTGCTGTTTGTACACTGATTTTGGACACATTGTTTGACACTCGCATTGTTATCAAGGGTTAATCGGACGGGAAAACTTTTTGAAATTTAAACTGTCCAACAGGGCAATGTCACGTCGTAAAGTGTAAAATAAAGTATACACCATAGTGTCCATGTAGCAAGGTCCTTACTGATTTAACTTTGCTATTTGAACACTAATTTTTGACACGTTGTTTAACACTTGCATGGTTGTGAAGTGTCAATTGGATGGAAAAATTGTTTGAAATTTAAACTGTCCAACATGGAAATGTCATGTGGCAAAGTGTAAACTAAAGTGTACACCATAGTGTACCTATAGCATGGTTCATATCGATTGAACTTTGCTATTTGTAAACTGATTTTTGACATGTTGTTTGGCACTTGCATTGTTGTCAAGTGTCAATTGGATGGGAAAACTATTTGAAATTTAAACTGTCCAACAGGGTAATTTCACGTGGCAAAGTGTAAACTAAAGTGCATTCCATAGTGTACATGTAGCAAGGTTCTTACCTATTGAACTTTGCTATTTGTACACAGATTTTTCACACATTGTTTGACACTTGCCTTGTTGTCGAGTATCAATTAGATGGGAAAACTGTTTGAAATTTAAACTGTCCAACAGGGTAATGGCACGTGGCAAAGTATAATCTAAAGTGTACACCATAGTGTACATGTAGCAAGGTTCTTACCGATTGAACTTTGCTATTTGTACACAGATTTTTCACAGGTTGTTTGACACTTGTATTGTTGTTCAGTATCAATTAGATGGAAAACTGTTTGAAATTTATACTGTCCAGCAGGGTAATGTCTTGTGGCAAAGTGTAAACTAAAGTGTACACAATAGTGTACATGTAGCAAGGTCCTTATTAATTGAACTTTGCTATTTGTGCACTGATTTTTGACATGTTGTTTGACACTTACATTATTGTCAGGTGTCAATTTGATGGAAAAACTGTTTGAAATTTAAATTGTCCAGCAGGGTAATGTCAAGTGGCAAAGTGTAAACTAAAGTGTGTACACAATCGTGTACATATAGCAAGGTTCTTGACAATTGAACTTTGCTATTTATACACTGAATTTCGACATATTGTTTGACACTTGCATTATTGTCAACTATCAAGTGGATGGAAAGATCATTTGAAATTTAAACTGTTCGACAGGGTAATGTCACGTGGCAAAGCGTAAAATAAAGTATAGACCATCGTGTACCTATAGAATGGTTCATACCGATTGAACTTCGTTATTTGTAAACTGATTTTTGCACGTTGTTTGACACTTGCATTGTTATCAAGTGTCAATTGGATGGAAAAATTGTTTGAAATTTAAATTATCCAACAGGGTAATGTCACGTGGCAAAGTGTGAACTAAATTGTACACCATAGTTGTAACATCCCTAAAATTTTAGAATAAAAACATATTTGTTTTGTATGTTATATTTCAAAAGTTGAGGGACTAAGATGTAATATATTTTAAATTGTTATATTTTGAGTCAAAAAATTAAATTTTGGTAGAGTGAGAGTAAGTATATCAATATTGTACTCGTTTGATAGCTTGTAATTAATTATGCATTTTAGGCTCGAGAAAAAAATTAATTTGAATAAGTTATGGCCAAGATTTTATAGTTCTAAAGTTTTAAGCTTTGGTGTTAATGAAAATGGTAAGTAATATTATTTTAAATAAGATGTGTAGCCATGTGTGCTTTTGATTAGGATTAGTCTTCTTTGGTACAATAGATTACGTTAATTGAAGCCATGGTAGAGTTTTAAAACCTTAGTTATAATTAATCTAATTCTAGTATTTAAATCCTAATGTTGTTTTACTTGGCCAAATCCAGTTTTATGTTTAGAATAAATTAAGTTAAAGAGATCAAAGATTAAGGGATTAATTCACTTGGCAAAATTGGACGTGACTTCAATACTACAATCATGGTTCCTTATTAGTTAGCTAAATTAGGATTTGGAGTTAACCATAATGAAACAAGAATTTATGTTACTGTAATCAAATGTCATTAAAGCTGTCCACATTTTGCTCTCGGTTTGACAAAAGAGAATAAACACTACTTTCATGGAAATTAGATACAAGTCTTATTAGTTATTTATTAAATTGTTTGTACTAAAATAAATTAAGCCTTATATCCAATGCAATTAGGAGTCCAACTTATCTTAATGTCTGCATGTATGGATAATGATAACTTAAGTTAGAATAAATGAATTCAAAGAAACTTATTTAATATATATTTTCAAATAATGTCCCTTTAAAGATAATTAGCAAAATAATACAATATTTTATAATCATGATTATCTTTAAGGATTTAGTCATACCCAAATTCTGTTTTTCCATTTGAAATCCAGTGTAACAGAATCGATTTCCGTGGACATGTGATTAACTAGAGAGACTGTATCTTTCAAGATAATTGGCAAATCTTATAAAATATTTTATTTGAAAATGATTGGATCCAATTCTGTTTTCCATTTGATAATGATTATAACAAGATTAGTGTTCTCCTACGTGTACACGTGTTGTATATAACTTGGTTTTCCCCTATGTTTACACATGTTGTGTATAAAATTATATATAATGTAATTTATCTCTATTTTTAGTCATTATCCTTATTTTGAATTATAAGACCCTTTTGAATTTTAAACAATATAACAGGTAGATTCCATTTATTATCTACAAGTTACAACTAAAATTATACACATCGTAATTATATAAAATCTGATCACATAATGATTATTCTTGATTTTTAATTATCCTTCATATAATTTGGATAAATTTCAATCTTATAGAGGATAATGACTAACACAGTTCTAACCCTTATCAACTACTTTATATTTGCCTATAAATACTAATGCCATACACATATTTTTGTCATGAACCCCATTTCCTTAGTTTTTGGTTTCATTCTTTAAGTTCAGCAGAAACCCCCTATTATATTCATATTCTACCAAAATTATAATTCTCTTTGCCTCTTTAATCACATCTATTGCATGCACACACACGGCAACAATTGCGTTGACAGAAAATATACATTTGGAGCGTGATTCTTGCATCTTGTTTTGAAAATTCGTAGATTAACGAGGTAGGATACCATGTGCAAGTGATTCATCCTTGCAATATTATAATTTTTTTTATGTGATTTATTTCATGAAATGCTAATTGACCTGCGGGTCCCTATGAAATGAAATGTGAGATCGCCTTTGGGTCTTCTCAAATGTACTAGAGCTTTCGATTGATCACTGATTGCTTTTGATGAAATGATGGTATGGAATGTTATAGATTCATGTTTAAAAAGTTATCATATTATTTTGGACGCACTAATCCTACTGAGTATAAATTACTCACTCCTTCCATTTTAACCTTTCAGGTCAGATTGGTCAACGTGGATGGTGGCTGAGTGGTGCGCAGGTTGCCAAATAAAAGAAATTTTTAGGAATCCATAATAAATTTGTTAGGGCATTTTATGTTTCTCTTCAATTCCATTCATGACGCTATGTTTATTTGATTCAGTATTTGAGTTTCAATAAATTAAGGTATTAAATTTTAAATTTTATTTCCGCTTGATGTATGATTATGGAATGATATCGGTAACTCCTCAAATTTAAGTCAATAATATTTGGGGCGTTACAATAGTGCACATGTAGCAAGGTCCTTACCGATTGAACTTTACTATTTGTACACTGATGTTTTACATGTTGTTTGAAACTTGCATTGCTGTCAGGGGTCAATTTGATAGAAAAATTGTTTAAAATTTAAACTGTCTAGCAAGGTAATGTCATGTGGCAATGTGTAAACTAAAGTGTGTACACCATAGAGTACATATAGCAAGTTTAGACCGATTAAAATTTGCTATTTGTACACTGATTTTGACACGTTGTTTGACACTAGCATTGTTGTGAAGTGTCAATTGGATGGAAAAACTTTTTGAAATTTAAACTGTCCAATAGTAAAGTCACGTGGAAAAGAGTAAACTAAAGTATACAGCATAGTGTACATATAGCAAGGTCCTCACTGATTGAACTTTGCTATTTGTAAACTGATTTTTGACACGTTGTTTGACACTTGCACTGTTGCCAAGTGTTAATTGGATGGGAAAACTATTTGAAATTTAAACTGTCCAATAGGGTAATGTCATGTGGTAAAGTGTAAACTGAAGTGTACACCATAGTGTACATGTAGCGAGGTCCTTATCTATTGAACTTTGCTATTCGTGCACTGATTTTTGACACGTTCTTTGACACTTGCATTGTTGTCAAGTATCAATTTGATGGAAAAACTATTTGAAATTTAAATTGTCCAGCAGGGTAATGTCAAGTGGCAAAGTGTAAACTAAAATGTGTACACCATAGTGTACATATAGCAAGGTTCTTACCGATTGAATTTTACTATTCATACGCTGATTTTTGACATGTTGTTTGACAAATACATTGTTGTCGAGTTTCAATTGGATGGAAAAACTGTTTGAAATTTAAACTGTCCAACAGGAAAGTGCACCTGTAGCATGGTTCGTACCGATTGAACTTTGCGATTTGTAAACTTATTTCTGACACGTTGTTTAACACTGTCATTGTGGTCAAGTGTAAATTGGAAGGGAAAGCTGTTTGAAATTTAAACTATCCAGCAGGGCAATGTCACGTGGGAAAGAGTAAACTAAAGTGTACTTGTAGCAAGGTCCTTACCGATTGAACTTTATTATTTGTACACTGATTTTTGACACGCTGTTCGACACTTGCATTGTAGTCAAGTGTCAATTGGATGGGAAAACTTTTTGAAGTTTAAACTGTCCAGCAGGGTAATGTCACATGGGAAAGTGTAAACTATAGTGTACACCATAGTGTACATGTGGCAAGTTCCTTACCGATTGAAATTTGCTGTATTTGCACTAATTTTTGACACGTTGTTTGACACTTGCATTGCTGTCAAGTGTCAATTTGATGGAAATTTTTTTTGAAATTTAAATTGTCCAGCAGGGTAATGTTAAGTGGCAAAGCGTACACTAAAGTGTGTACACTATAGTGTACATATAGCAAGGTTCTTGCCGATTGAATTTTGCTCTTCATACGCTGATTTTTGACACTTTGTTCGACACTTGCATTGTTGTGAAGTGTCAATTGGATGGAAAAACTGTTTGAAATTTAAACTGTCCAACATGGAAACGTCACGTGGCAAAGTGTAAACTAAAGTGTACACTATAGTATACCTGTAGCATGGCTCATACCGATTAAACTTTGCTATTTGTAAACTAATTTTTGACATGTTGTTTGGCACTTGTATTGTTATCAAGTGTCAATTGGATGGAAAAACTGTTTGAAATTTAGACTGTCTAACAGGGTAATGTCACATGGCAAAGTGTAATCTAAAGTGTACATCATAGTGTACATGTAGCAAGGTTCTTACCGATTGAACTTTGCTATTTGTACACAGATTTTTCACAGGTTGTTTGACACTTGTATTATTGTCGAGTATCAATTAGATGGAAAATTGTTTGAAATTTATACTGTCCAGCAGGGTAATGTCTTGTGGCAAAGTGTAAACTAAAGTGTACACCATAGTGTACATGTAGTAAGGTCCTTATCGATTTAACTTTGCTATTTGTGCACTGATTTTTGACATGTTGTTTGACACTTACATTATTGTCAAGTGTCAATTTGATGGAAAAACTGTTTGAAATTTAAAATGTCCAGCAGGGTAATGTCAAGTGGCAAAGTGTAAACTAAAGTATGTAAACAATCGTGTACATATAGCAAGGTTCTTGACAACTGAACTTTGCTATTCATACACTGAGTTTCGACATATTGTTTGACACTTGCATTGTTGTCAACTATCAAGTGGATGGAAAGATTGTTTGAAATTTAAACTTTTCGACAGGGTAATGTCATGTGGCAAAGCGTAAAATAAAGTATAGACCATCGTGTACCTGTAGAATGGTTCATACCGATTGAACTCCGTTATTTGTAAACTGATTTTTGCACGTTGTTTGACACTTGAATTGTTATCAAGTGTCAATTGGAAGGGAAAATTGTTTGAAATTTAAACTATCCAACAGGGTAATGTCACGTGGTAAAGTGTAAACTAAATTGTACACCATAGTGCACATGTAGCAAGGTCCTTACCGATTGAACTTTGCTATTTGTACACTGATGTTTTACATGTTGTTTGAAACTTGCATTTCTGTCAGGTGTCAATTTGATAGAAAAATTGTTTAAAATTTAAACTGTCCAGCAAGGTAATGTCACGTGGCAATGTGTAAACTAAAGTGTGTACACCATAGAGTACATATAGCAAGTTTGGACTGATTAAAATTTGCTATTTGTACACTAATTTTTGACACGTTGTTTCACAATAGCATTGTTGTAAAGTGTCAATTGGATGGGAAAACTTTTTGAAATTTAAACTGTCCAATAGTAAAGTCACGTGGAAAAGAGTAAACTAAAGTATACATCACAGTGTACATATAGCAAGGTCCTCACTGATTGAACTTTGCTATTTGTAAACTGATTTTTGACACGTTGTTTGACACTTGCATTGTTGCCAAGTGTTAATTGGATGGGAAAACTATTTGAAATTCAAACTGTCCAATAGGGTAATGTCACGTGGTAAAGTGTAAACTGAAGTGTACACCATAGTGTACATGTAGCGAGGTCCTTATCTATTGAACTTTGCTATTTGTGCACTGATTTTTGACACGTTCTTTGACACTTGCATTGTTGTCAAGTGTCAATTTGATGGAAAAACTATTTGAAATTTAAATTGTCCAGCAGGGTAATGTAAAGTGGCAAAGTGTAAACTAAAGTGTGTACACCATAGTGTACATAGAGCAAGGTTCTTGCCGATTGAATTTTACTATTCATATGCTGATTTTTGACACGTTGTTTGACACATACATTGTTGTCGAGTTTCAACTGGATGGAAAAACTATTTGAAATTAAAACTGTCCAACAGGGTAATGTCACATGGCAAAGAGCGAACTAAAGTGGGCACCAAAGTGTACCTATAGCATGGTTCGTACCGATTGAACTTTGCTATTTGTAAACTTATTTCTGACACATTGTTTGACACTGTCATTGTGGTTAAGTGTAAATTGGAAGGGAAAACTATTTGAAATTTAAACTATCCAACAGGGCAATGTCATATGGGAAAGAGTAAACTAAAGTGTGCACCATAGTGTACTTGTAGCAAGGTCCTTACCGATTGAACTTTATTATTTGTACACTGATTTTTGACACGCTGTTTGACACTTGCATTGTAGTCAAGTGTCAATTGGATGGGAAAACTTTTTGAAGTTTAAACTGTCCAACAGGGTAATGTCACGTGGGAAAGTGTAAACTATAGTGTACACCATAGTGTACATGTGGCAAGTTCCTTACCGATTGAAATTTGCTGTATTTGCACTGATTTTTAACACGTTGTTTGACACTTGCATTGTTGTCAAGTGTCAATTTGATGAAAAAATTGTTTGAAATTTAAATTGTCCAGCAGGGTAATGTTAAGTGGCAAAGTGTAAACTAAAGTGTGTACACTATAGTGTACATATAGCAAGGTTCTTGCCGATTGAATTTTGCTCTTCATACGCTGATTTTTGACACGTTGTTCGACACTTGCATTGTTGTGAAGTGTCAATTGGATGGAAAAACTATATGAAATTTAAAATGTCCAACATGGAAACGTCACGTGGCAAAGTGTAAACTGAAGTGTACACCATAGTGTACTTGTAGCATGGCTCATACCGATTGAACTTTGCTATTTGTAAACTCATTTTTGACATGTTGTTTGGCACTTGCATTGTTATCAAGTGTCAATTGGATGGGAAAACTGTTTGAAATTTAAACTGTCCAACAGGGTAATGTCACGTGGCAAAGTGTAATCTAAAGTGTACACCATAGTGTACATGTAGCAAGGTTCTTACCGATTGAACTTTGCTATTTGTACACAGATTTTTCACAGGTTATTTGACAGTTGTATTGTTGTCGAGTATCAATTAGATGGAAAACTGTTTGAAATTTATACCGACCAGCAGGGTAATATCTTGTGGCAAAGTGTAAACTAAAGTGTACAGCATAGTGTACATGTAGCAAGGTCCTTATCAATTGAACTTTGCTATTTGTACACTGATTTTTGACATGTTGTTTGACACTTACATTATTGTCAAGTGTCAATTTCATGGAAAAATTGTTTGAAATTTAAAATGTCTAGCAGGGTAATGTCAAGTGGCAAAGTGTAAACTAAAGTATGTACACAATTGTGTATATATAGCGAGGTTCTTGACAACTGAACCTTGCTATTTATACACTAAATTTCGACATATTGTTTGACACTTGCATTGCTGTCAACTATCAAGTGGATGGAAAGATTGTTTGAAATTTAAACTGTTCGACAGGGTAATGTCATGTGGCAAAGCGTAAAATGAAGTATAGACCATCGTGTACCTATAGAATGGTTCATACCGATTGAACTCCGTTATTTGTAAACTGATTTTTGCACGTTGTTTGACACTTGAATTGTTATCAAGTGTCAATTGGATGGGAAAATTGTTTGAAATTTAAACTATCCAAC